GGGAAAGTTTGGGGGGCTGGGGTCCGGGCGCGGCGCCGGCCCCGCGTGGGTCCCTTTCTTCTTCGGCGCCTGGAGGTTTCTGATTTTACCGCTTAAAATAAAATTTTTAAAAATCCTTTTATTTTAAATAGCAAGATGGGGTTTCAGCATTACTTTCCGTCCCCTGGCCTGTGGGGGGCAGGGATGGAAAATTACCTGGAGAAAATGGTGGCGAGTGGTATTTTTAAGCACGTAGATCCTTCCAGACGCCGAGGTCTGGCTCTGCCCCAGAATCAGAACAGCCAATTCTTGACATTGATTTCAAATAAATGCCACGTCCCTGTCTGTAGTAAGTGGCTGTTAACCCTTTGGGGGGCCGGCGACTCCTTGGAGACAACTGACAAAAGCCAGGAATTTCCCCCCTGGGGAGAGTCCCGCTGGCATTTACATCATTGTGCCACCTTAACTCCTTCAAATATTGAAGAAGCGCCTACTACGCGCCCGACACTGTTCCAGGCGCCAAGGGTACAAGAACGAATGTGGCCACGGTTCTCCTCCCCTGGAGTTGACCTGACAATTTGGGGCCCCCCTGGGCCCCAGCCCAGCCTCAAGTCTGACTGCAACGCAATCATCACATGTAGCTGAGATTAGATGATTAAGCTTTTGAAGGTACTCTGGCCTAGAGTTGTGCTTAAATAGGGAAACTCATCAAAATACACAAGATGCCCACCCTTTGCCATCCTTTTTGATAACAGTGGTTTGCAAATCTTTTTTTTTAAATATACTTTTATTGATTTCAGAGAGAGGAAGGGAGAAGAGAGGGAGAGAGAAACAATGATGAGAGAGAATCATTGATTGGCTGCCTCCTGCACACCCCCTACTAGGGATGGAGCCCGCAACCCAGGCATGTGCCCTTGACTGGAATTGAACCCGGGACCCTTCAGTCCACAGGCGAAGCTCTGTCCATTGAGCCAAACCAGCTGCGTCTGGTTTGCAAATCTTGCCGGTGGTCACAGACTTTCAGACATCTGGATCTAGTGAGGAAGGGTTGTCACCCAAGCCCGCCTTCCGCCCCAGCTCAGGCGGCTCCCCTTGTGATCAACTTCAGGCTTATCCAGCCCAGGACGCTCAGCGAAATTTTATTTCATCAACCAATGAATGACACCTTCTCCTACACCCCCTCCCTCCCCACCGCCCACCCTCCCAGGGATCCAATACTCAAAAGTAGCACACCGTCCATTCCTAGCCACAATGTGATTTTCAGTTGTTTCAGTAGTCACATTTTAGAAAGTAACAAGAAACTGATGAAATTGAATCTTTAATACATGTTAACACAATATATCCAGAACACTGTGTTTTCCATGTGTAAGGAATGTAAAGAAATTAAGATGCTTTGTATCATTTTTATCATACAAAGTCTTCCAAACCCAGCGTGTATTTCACACTCACAGGGTGTCAGAATTCAGACCCGCCCCATTCCAAGCTCATACTAACCACAAGGGCTGGCGGCTTTCCTATTGGACGACCGTGCAGGGTGAGAGGCTACAAGCAGAGGGCTCATAGGGCGGACACACCTGGGCAGGAATCCTGGCTCCACTACCTCTGAGCTGTTTGTGCCTCCAAGTCCTGGGGCGAGAATCCGGATCTCAGGGCATGGCTCCTCGCTTTCCATATTGTTGTGTGTGTTTTTTTACTGTGATGCCCACCCCCTCACTTGAAGTCCTGATCGATGGCCATTGAAAAATATTTTTTCCTTTTGTTTTTCATTGAGATCCAATTCACTTAGCATAAAATTCACCCGTTTAAAGTATACAACTTAATGGCTTTTAGTGCATTCACAGGGTTGTGCAAGCATCACCACCATCTAATTCTAGGTCACCCCAAAAAGAAACTCCATACCCAATACAGTCACTGTCCTTTTCCCACTACCCTTACTTTAGGCCACCTCTAACCTACTTTCTATCTCTATGGACGTACCTATTCTGGGCGTTTCATATAAATGGAATGATGCAATATGTGACCTTCTGTGCGGCTTCTTTCATTTAGCATCATGTTTTGTTTTGTTTTTAAGTCTTTTTACTTATTTTATTATGTTTTATAAATTTTTTTATTTTTTTAAAAATATATTTTATTGATTTTTTACAGAGAGGAAGGGAGAGGGATAGAGAGTTAGAAACATCGATGAGAGAGAAACATCGATCAGCTGCCTTCTGCACACCCCCTACTGGGTATGTGCCCGCAACCAAGGTACATGCCCTTGACTGGAATCGAACCCAGGACCCTTGAGTCTGCAGGCTGACACTCTATCCATTGAGCCAAACCTGTTAGGGCAAATTTTTTCTATTTTAGAGAGAGTGGAAGAGACAGAGAGAAATATCAATGTGAGAGAAACACATCCATCAATTGGTTGCCTCCATCCAGCACGCGCCCTGACCAGGGCCCGGAGCAGGGAGGAGCCTGCAACCCAGGTCTGTGCCCTTGACTAGAATCGAACCCGGGACCCTTCAGTTTGCAGGCCAGTGCTCTATCCACTGAGCCAAACCGGGTAGGGCTTTATTTATTTCTAGAGAAAGAAGGAGGGAGAAAGAGAGAAACATGGATATGAAAGAGAAACATCAATCAATTGGCTGCCTCCTGCACGCCCCTACCAGGGATCTAGCCCGCCACCCAGGCATGTGCTCTGACCTGGAATTGAACCAGCAACCCTTCAGTGCATGGGAGGACACCCAACCATCTGAGCCACACTGGCCAGGGCCATTTAGTATCGTATTTTCCAGGTTCATCCACATTGTAACATGTATCAGTATTTTGCTACTCTCTTATTCATGGCAAATACTATTCCATTGGAGGGAGAGAACACACCACCAGTTGACGGATAGTTGGATTGTTTCCACTTTTTGGCTGTTATAAGTACGGCTGCTATGAACATTTGTTTACAATTTTTTCTATGGACAACAGCTTTCAAATTCTTTGGGGTATATACCCAGGAATGGAATTGCTGAATCTTATGTTTCACTTTTTGGGGAACCACTAAACTGCTTCACCATTGTACATGCCCACTAGCAATGCATGAGGCTTCCAATTTCTCCATATCTTCACCGACACTTGTTTTTATCTGACTTTTTTTATTTTCCTAATGGGTGTGAATTAGTATTTCCTGGTTTTGATTTGCATTTTCCTAATGAGCAGTGATGTTGAGCATCTTTTTATGTATTTACTGGTCATTTGCATATATTCTTTAGAGAAATATTATAATCCTTTGCCTATTTTTAAACTGAATTTTCTTTTTATATTAAATTGTAAGTCTTTTTATACATTCAGGGTACTGGTTCCTTCTCCGATATATACAGGGTGTCCCCCAAAAATTGTATATGGACTTTGAATGATTCTAAAGTCAGTGTTTATTAACATACAGTTCATTTTTAAAATTTAAAAGAACCTACAGAAATGAATACATTTTTTGGTCAATGCCTGTTTTC